TTTGTTTACCTTCTTATTTGCAACATAGTATATAGTTGCTTAGACTTGCAGATGAGAGGCCGGCAAGTGAGGCGGTGAACGTTGGAGTCTGCAGCAAGCAAGCCTCGTGCTCGCTTCAGTGCCTGGCTGCCGGCCGCCATCTTGGCTGACAGTTAATTTGCATATACTCACTGATTAGCCAATGAAAAGGGTAGCGGTCGTACGCCAATTACCATGTTTCTCTTTTATTAGTGTAGATAATATAGTTGAATTTTGAGACAGATGTTACAATAACTGTGATTATGATTTTTAAGAAATCCTGAGTGTAAATAATTGATGAATGTACATCTGTGTTTATGTTTTAAAATATCAATCAACATCATTAGATAAATTGAGAGATGGTGGTTGGTAAGGGATATTTGATGACATATACCTTGCTTTTGGTGGAAATTTGGGCTAAAATATTTCATATCATATCAATGGTTTTTTTCTTATTTGAGGTTATATTGAGGTCATATTTACTTAGGTAATACCTTCTATCTCATTCAGAATTGTATTATTCTTTTTAATTTAGACCCCAAAATATAAATGAATATGAGAGCTATTTTTTCTTTTTTTTTAATAAAAATATTTTTTTTAATTGATTTCAGAGAGGAAGGGAGAGGGAGAGATAGAAACATCAATGATAAGAGAATCATTGATTGGCTGTCTCCAGCATTCCCCCTACTGGGGATTGAACCTGCAACCTGGGCATATACCCTGATTGGAATTGAACCTCGACCTCCTAGATTCATAGGTCAACACTCAACCACTGAGCCACACCAGCCAGGCTATTTTTGTTTTTTTAACCTTTTTCATTTGTGTATATGTGTATGTATACACATATATACATGCATTATAGTTACATATAGTATATTGATATATGCATGCATTATATATTTATATAGTATGGATATGTTAGAAAGAAAATGCTATCAGTCTTACATATTTGCATGGGGTGAGTGTTTACAAGGTAATGAAAAGGCTTGGTATATTCACTGGGCTTGTATTACCAGGAACCTTATTGCAAGACTGAAAACACAGAGAGTACATGTTCAGCAGCAGTAGGAATCTCGTCTTTAGCCTAAGCTTGTTTAATCTAAAACACAGACCTGCCAAGGAGCTCTGGAGTCCTGACTAATGGTCTACTATGGACCATTTACCAGAGGAGTGAGGAATCTTTCTTGAAATTATTCATTGTAAGCAAATAGGAAATGAAAATATTTAAGCTTGTTTCAAGAAAATTGCTAACAGGTGAATGTGAGGTGTGGTTTGGTATTACATGGTATCTGCTACTCAGATTCATCTGATGTATCTTCAAAATTGAGACATATGAAGATGGAGTGTATGAAACAACTGAAGAGTCTCTTTAGACACAAACAAACATTTTAGGACATCCGTCAGGAGCTACAAGAACCATCACATTGTCACTGATCTAATGGAGTCTATTTTCCTGACACCCAATATTGTTTTATCATAACATTCCACTGTGTAGTTTTTTTCCTACCTAGGAAAGTTCATAAAGAGAAATCACACAAATAAAAGTATTTATGATCTATATAATAATTAATGTGGTATATAGGTAACATAAGGCACTTTTTGTGGGTTTTTTAGGCACTGTCTTCTTTTTGATACACTAATATGTGTTTGATTTTAGGTTTCCTCAAGAACTGAACATGGGAAAAATAAGTGCTGAGATTATGTGGACCCTTTTTGCTCTGGATATGAAATATGCACTAGAAGGTAATTCCAAATATCTATTCACATTAGAACTCACATTTTAGTGAAATCGTTATTTCTTGTTCTTGTTTTTAAATGCAATAATTTATTAATTAAAACATTGATTGTTTCATATGACAGTTCTATTTTTTTAAATTCTTTATTGTTTAAAAAATTATATGTCTCCATTTTCCCCCATTGACCTCTCCCCAGCCACTCTCACCCCCCAGCACATGCCCTCACCCCGCTGGTGTCTGTGTCCATTAGTTATGCTTATATGCATACATACAAGTCCTTTGGTTGATCTCTTACTCCTCTCCTGCCTTTCCTCTGAATTTTAATGGTCTGTTTGATGCTTCTCTGTCTCTGGGTCTATTTTTGTTCATCAGTTTATGTTGTCTATTATATTTCATATATGAGTGAGATCATGTGATATTTATCTTTCTCTGACTGGCTTATTAAGCTTAGCATAATGCTTTCCAGGTTCATCCATATTGTTGTGAATGGTAAGAGTTCTTTATTTTTTCAACAACATAGTATTCCATTGTGTAGATGTACCACATTTTTTTAAATTCCTTCATCTACTAATGGGCACTTAAGCTGTTGTCAAATCTTAGCTATGGTGAATTGTGCTGCTATGAACATAGGGCTACATATGTCCTTTCTGATTGGTGTTTTTAGTTTCTTGAGATATATTCCTAGAAATGGGATTACTGGGTCGAATGGGAGTTCCATTTTTAATTTTTTGAGGAAACTCCATACTGTTCTCCACAGTGGCTGCACCAGTCTGCATTCCCACCAGCAGTGCACAAGGGTTCCTTTTTCTCCACATCCTTGTGAGCACTTGTTGTTTGTTGATTTGTTGACGATAGCCATTTTGACAGGTGTGAGATGGTACCACATTGTCATTTTGATTTGCATCTCTCGGATTATTAGTGAATTTGAGCATGTTATCCTATTTTCTATTTTATGAAAAACCTCCATACTGTTTTTAATAGTTGATGCATCTTTTACAATCCCAGCAATAGTGCACGAGGGTTCCCTGTTCTCCACATCTTCTCCAACACTTGCTGTTTGTTGTTTTACTGATGATAGCAATTCTGACAGGTGTGAGGTAATATCTCATTGTGGTTTTAACTTGTTTTTCTCGATGATTAGTGATGTTGAGCATCTTTTCATGTCTATTGGCCATTTGAATGTCCTCTTTGAAGAAATGTCAGTTCAGGTCCTCTGGCCTTTTTATTTAATCAGAATTGTTTGGTTTTCTTGGTGATAAAGTATGTAAGTTCCTTAGATATTTTGAGTGTTAACCACTTTTCGAATATATCATCACCAAAAAAGAAACAAAACCCAAAGCCTTGTGAACAGTTTAGTTCTAAAAAGTATTTCCACAATATAGTAAGATAATTTTCTCAAAGTATTTAAAAGCAATAAGAAGTGCATACATTTTCATCAAGTGGTCTAAGGTGCAGGGTCATAGTGATATCTCACTTATAAGATAATGCTCAGATGCAGGACTACTTGATGGTAGTTTATTGACTGAAGCAGGCCATGTTGAGAGTGTGGATATTCATCTGCATGGGTGTGGAAATGGTAGCCAAGGCGAGGCAGGTTAAAATCCAGTCGAAGCTTGCACAGGGCAATAGCAAGGCTCTTCACCAGAAACTTCACTTTTAATAAATTTAAGTCATACAATGTAAAGCAAGGGAAGGCAGCTCTGAGTTTAAAAATTCTCTAAATATTATTTGAGCACTCCCATGTTCAAAGTGTGAGAGAGAACCACAAACCAGTCTATGGTTTCTGTCCTCTAGGAACTTAATAGGCTAGTGGGTAATTATTTTTGCACTTTTTCAACAAATATATATTGAGCCCCAGAAGCTAAATTCACATAACTGCACTCAGTGTGGAGGATACAACAATGAACAAGATAGTGATGGTCCCTGGCCACGAGAACTCAGCAGGCCCATGAGCCAGAAAGAGCAAGGAGTGAGGCTGGGGAAAATGATGGGGACCCGCATGCAGGGCCTGTACCCCATGGTGAGGTGTGTGACTCTCTGCCTAGAGAATCAGGGGACCATAAACGGATTTCATCAGGGTCAGGTCTTTCCAGATAAAGCATTTTGACTGCAGGGTGGAAAATAGATTAATACTGTAAATAAAGTAAGACTGGTTTAGAGTTCGTGCCACCGTTTTCTAGCATTGCTAAAATGTAAGCTTGCTACTAGGGGACACAGAAGGAACATAAAGACGTTTTTCTTGTTTGGTAAAAAAAGGTACACAGTAAATTAGTTTATCAACTTTTCTGGTAAAGTCTGGGTCTACCATCCCACAAATATAGAGATTTATCTAATTCTTAAGATTACAGCAAAACTGCTCAGAGGGACAAAGTTTATGTTCTGCAATGCAGTGTTCCTTTCTGTTGTTTTTATCAATCCTGCTTTTTCTCTGCCTCCAACCAACCACATCCTTTTATACCACTATACTCTGATTGTCTCTTTGAAATCCAACAAGTCTCTTAAGTCAAATTGGAACCACCAGTCCACTAGCCCACAATATAGTAAGATAATTTTCTTTTTTTAAAAAAATATATTTTATTGATTTTTTACAGAGAGGAAGGGAGAGAGATAGAGAGTTAGAAACATCGATGAGAGAGAAACATCGATCAGCTGCCTCCTGCACATCTCCTACTGGGGATATGCCCGCAACCAAGGCACATACCCTTGACCGGAATCGAACCTGGGACCTTTCAGTCCGCAGGCCGACGCTCCATCCACTGAGCCAAACCGGTTTCGGCAAGATAATTTTCTTAGTAAGGTGAATTTCTTTTGAGAGAAATTTTGCTCCCATAGTCCTATCCGCTAATCTCCTCTGCCCTCCTTGAATGTCTATCAGGCATCTTATACTTTAAATGGTCAATATAGAAGTCTGAATCTCCCTGTCAGAACCTGCTTCTTCCCTCTGGCTGGCCCCCTTCCCTATTGCAATTATTGGCACCACCATTCATGCAGTTACTTAAGTCAAACATGTAGGGTTACCATGGATTCCTTTCTTTTCCCCAGCACACTCAGTTTATTCCAGTTTGGGGCTTTATGCCAGGTCGTCTACTGCCTGGACTTCTCTTTCCACCAATCTTCACAGCAGCTGTGCAGGGCTCAGCTTCATGCCACCTCCTTAGGATCGAACATCATTCCCAGGAGTAACCTTAGTTGAATCCTTAGCATAGCCACGAATTACTATCTTTTATTTATTTGTTTGTGTGTTTATGCTTGTTCAATTGAATATTTCTTCAATTGCAGTATTCTTCACTGCAATGTATAATTTTATCTATGATTTTTACCGACATAGCTTTATTGCCCAGAACAATGCCTAGAAAATAGAAGCTACTCAGTAACTATTTGTTGCATAAAAAGTTTACCAGGTAATTCCAATTCAATGGAGTAGTGAAAAGGGCAGTGGTGAAGAATTCCACTTTGATCTTCTTATGTTATATGATCTTGGGAACCTTCTGAGAAATCAACAGCTTTGTGTTTCATCGTCCTTACCTGTAAAATGAAAGGTCCACATGGGATCAATGGGCTGGGCAATGGGCAGGGAGGCTACTGCCCACACTTATGAGAAAATTGATTGCTTGGAACTATTCCAAGGTGGCACTGCTTGCCAGGGCACATTGTATTTGAGCAGGCTTATACCTTTGCTTATGTGGTAGCATGTGTGCAAATATTGGGTATTTTATGTTCCCTTCACTTATAAAACTGTGTGTTAATTTGAGAAATGTAAGTGTAATGTTTGTGTTAAGAAATTTAAAACTCAAACATTTATTATTTGTTTGAGACAACAATGAAATTAGAAATGTTATAAGTAAAGCATTTGTAACTTTGAACAGATGCTTATGGATTTTGGTTAACAATTTTGTGCAATAACAGTATCCCAAAATGCAGAGATTATATATTTAGAATCAGGTCCAAGATCAATGGTAATTAATCATTTTGTGATTATCTTAGCTCTTTTGGAGACAGTTTTATTATTAGTTTGACTTTTCAAATAGCAAATTTGATACTTAAATAGTATACCATATAACTTACCTACTTAAAGTATACAGTCAATAGTTGTTACATTTGCTTATTTATACACATTGTCAAGAAGGCATGTAAGGGAGTACTTGGATTGCAGTTCATGGTTTATGCATCTTCTTACACAGATGAGAGGGCTTTTGAGTTCAAAGATTATATATGTCATCTTTGTGTTCATTGAATCTTAATAGAAGTTCAATAGGCGCTTGTTTATTTGACTCAAATTGCAAATATGACAACCTTATACAAAGCGCCTTGGAAACAAGGCCAGAACACTTGCCATGTTCAGACTTACAATTTGTAGTATTGCAAGTTGGAAGGCAGCCAAAGATCTGAGTCTGGAAAAACCAGTTTCAGAAAGCTCCGTCCTGTATGAGCTGCACAACCTTGGACAGTTAATGCATAATCTCTCCAAACTTTAGTTTCTTTTCCTATAAAAAGGTGATAAGAGTTTTCAGGTTGATGTGAGGATCATCTGACATATTAAATGTACTTTGCAGACTCTAAAGCACTGTGCTGGTGGGAGGAGACCATTGCTGTTATTATTAAGTAAGGCAAGAATGTCCTGACCAAGTTCCAAAGCAGGCTCCTTTAGGGGTCATTTAAGGTTTAAACTCCTAGCAGAGTGTTTACAAATACTTGTGAATCTGTTCACTACCTCTCCCTCCTTCCCTTTCACATAAAGGCTAGTATTTATTATTTATTATGACAATTTTGAGGATTTATAATTTAGTAAACAAGAACTTGGAGGCAATTTATAATACCATCAAAATATCTAGATGCCTCTAAGTGACTGAAATGTTGACTTGCCAATTCCAATTGACTGCAGGTATTTCATTTATCATCTTGGTATCCACAGAACTTCATTGCCTGGGAGTTCTTATATCAGGACATTCCTGACCAGGTCATTGATTGTATAACATATAATTGTCTTCAAAGTCTCTATTAAAAGCA